GGGTGGAGGCGGCGGCGGTGGTGGCGGAGGATGCTGGCCACCAACAGGACCAGTCCTCATCTCCTCCAACATGACCCTCATCATGGTCATGTCCGCCAGGCGATCAGCCTCCAGCACATCCTCGGTAGCTTTCCTGTTCGCCTCTCTAACAGCGTCCAACATAGCCTGGTTTGCCATTCTCATGGCCTCCTAGTCGGCTTGTCGAGCCGCCTGCATCTCATCCAATGCAGCCAGGATCGGGTCGGGTTGACCCTCTCTAGTCTCTCGGTCCCTCCGAGGTAATACCATGACTTTGCACAAGTTACACAAGAATGAGTTGATCAGGCCCACGCAAAGTGGTCACACATGCATCATCATAGTAAAACCCAAAAGAACACTACAGACAAGACACACAACAGAAATCCTAAGTATTGCAATACATACAGACTTTTCCCTAGAAAGTGCTATGATACCATAAAATGTAACACCCCGTGTATACCCGATTTGTTATCATATCATCGTATTAAGCGCTGCTTAATTAAAATACGAAACTAACTTTTTCTTTTCAATTATGACGTCATTTTTAATAACCAAGTTGATTACTAAATCCTTTTCAAAACATTGCATGTATGTAATTGCAAATAAACAGCTAACTACACTGAATAACCTCATAATATAATTAAGTGTGTATCTAGTCACGGAACTACAACACATAGACCGAACAATATCCTGATACAATTATACAACTCAAGCTAAAAACATAACCAACGTCAATGTGGCATGGACAACCCCCATGCTCACCAAATAAGGCAACAAAGTTCAACATAGTCTCAACTCAAATAACAATATAATGACAACAAAACATAAATTGGCATCCAAGCAGATCAGAATAACATGCATATATCAGTCAACTAAGCTCCGGCCTTCTGCCGCCCGAGGTATCAACCTCCGAGGTACCTTAACCTAAAAATGCGCCCCAAACATGGGGTGAGATCTCTAAAAAGAAATCTCAGTAAGACAAGGGGTCCTCAAGGATCTCTCCACCCCAAGCTCACTTACATGTGCAATATAAGTTCTAAAAGCAGTGAAACAGTATAAGTTCCAAAATCAGTGCAATGCAGCATATAATCATGTCATGTGTGTCAAAATCCTACTGGCCAGAGAACATGCAGGAATTAAATATGTCTATAACCTACAATCAGTGCAAGACGCCACTTGCACCCACCCACAGAATCACCGTATTGTATGATGCCACATACTCAGGCTTACCGTCTAGCTGGAACAACACATACATATCATAAGGCATTTGCACTTAACAGCTCAATAGCATTTCAAATATCAATACATGAAAACACATCTTGCGTATAAACCATCCCTCCATGAGGTATGGTGGAACCAACAATGGAAAAATCGAGGACACAAAAGCTTACCTAGCAAGCTAACTATCTAACTCAAGAGTCCAACCAAGTCCAAGGTCCACAACCAGCACTCTCACAGTCTGTTTATACCAACAATCATATCAATATTAGTATTCTAATAGTTCATGACATAACGACAACGTTATCCTTTTACGTTTCATGCCATTAGGCTTCTCACAAAGCCATAAGCCCTTAATGCAATTGATTCTGACTTAGATTAATTATTACAGAAGTCCAACTTAACCAATCAAGGGTCCACAAACCCCAAATACAGTTCTTTATGAACTAAACAGTTACTGTCTCGAAATTCTCAGAATATCTGAATATTTTGACTCCAAACTTGTTATAATAGTCCTAGATATTATTCTAGTGATATATATATACTTTTCATAATTTTCCGGGATACTTCATCAGTACGTACTTATACCGTGAGGCAGAATCGATATCTGCACTTTTCGTCAGAAAAGTGACTTTCAACATTATTAATCACTTACTATAATTATTTAAGCCTTCTCATAATTATTAGGGTCAATTATGGAATTATTTCCTAAATTCTTACTTAATTAATTTAAATTCCTAAATTAACGGTGCAGGTTCTTACAACAAGGCTTCTCAAGATGACAAGAAAAGAGATTTAAGATCGTAAGACCTAAAGCTATAACTTTTGTGTAATAGGTTTTTCTCAAAAAGTGACTAAATCACCATGAACTTCCATGCCATTTTCCTTTGAGCTTGGTTCGGCCATAACAAGAAGGAAATGAAGAGAAGTGTGCGTGGGACTTAGAAGAAAGAAAGGTGACCTATTACATTTGTAAAAGTATCACAAAGTTACTTAACTTTTTCACTTTCCAACTTTACAAACAAGTTTAATCCCTATTGGTTCTTTATCTTCACACTTGCTTTGTCATCTTATCATACAACATTCTAGAATACTTCAACAAGAAGGAACTGCCCCACATGTACATAGATGACTAGAATTGCTTAGTTAGACATTTTAACACCTTTGAATATTCAAATTTAGCATTCATTGGTCCATTTATTCAAGACTAGTCAAACTTAATTCCAATTGGTTGTTCTTCACTTAACTTCGATCTTCTTGAATATAAATCATTAAAGGTTACAAAGAATCACTCATGGATCAAAAATCATGCAAATAATTCACAAAGTTATGTTATGTTACTAACTTGACAACTTTGTATACATCTTTGACTTAAATCCAATTCCATTGGTTTACTAATTTCCATGCTTTGACTTATTTTTAGAAATTAATCTAAACATTATTTGATCATAATAAGATGACTTTGAACCCATGAAATTAACTAGAGAATTTAATTACATCGTTAAATCAAGCTTTGACCTAACCTTGGTCAATTACCAAACTAATCTTGACTTTTCACATAATGACATCTATGTCCCCACATATACCTTAGACATAATGATATCTATGTCCCCACATATACCTTATACATAATAACATCTATGTCCCCACATATACCTTATACTTATATTAAGGTCCTATTAGACTTGTTTGACATGAATTGTATACTTAACTTATTTATCATGTCAATTACATGATTTACCGTTTACCGTTTTCTTGAATACATATTTAATTCACTTAAACACTTAGTTAATTCGCCGTCACCTATTTTGACCGTGAGGGTTGTTATAGTGCCTCAGGATTTTTGTGTGAACATAAGATTCGTTTTAAACTAAAAGGAAAGTTTTATAGAACAATAATAAGACATGCAATGTTATATGGAGCCAAATGAGCATAAAATGGAAGTAGCGAAAATGAGATATTAAGGTGGACAAGTGGTCATACAAAGATGGATAAGATAAGAAATAAAAATATTCGACAAAAAGTAAAAATTGTACTGGTGGTTGAAAATATAAAAGAATATGGATTAAGGTGATTTGGATATATAATGGGAAGATTCCTAAATGCTCTCGTAAGATCAAATTTTTTTTACTAAGAGCTTGACACAGAGAGAAGAAGAGGTCGGCCGAAACTTACTTAGGAGAAAGTAATAAAACAAGACTTAATAGATTAAGGTGTCTTAGGACAAATTAGAGAAAAGCTATTAGTATCGTAGAATGTTAGACCCATTTATCTTTCTATATTCTAGATCGCTCATCTTTAGTTTTTTCCTCGATATCTCTCTCTTTATTTCTTTCCTTATCTCTCTCTTATTTTTTTGTCTATTTTTTTTTTTTTTTTTTTTTTTTTTCCTCTCATTTTATTTTATTTTTTAAATTGTTTATTGCTTTTTTTATTTCTACTGTTATTTATATATTTTTCTTTTGTTAATTATTTTATTTTTTTCCTCAATCTTTTTATAGTCTTTATTTAAATTCATCTCTTACCGATTTTAATTAATTTGAAATTAATAAAGGTGATATTGATATTGATACCTATTTAAATGGGATCTCTGGACATACTAATTACTAAGTCGCCAAAATTTTGACAGCCTCATCCACTCATATTTCAATAGATTTTGGCAGATTGCGTTTACAAAAAGGTTTTTTTTTTAACAACTCCGTAATCCCCGGAATCCTCCAGAAAATCAAATTTCTGGTTGATTGTTTCCCTTTTCCATAGATTTTGTCCAATGGAAATGAGCAAATTTCTTTCCTTTGCAAAAGATGCTGAATGCTATTTACAAAAGAAAAAAAAAATGCTGAATGCTTGGAAAAGTTTAATTACGAAATCCGTTATGAATAAACCCTGGCCGTTAAAAAATTCTCTTTATCGGACGCTCGCGTATGCATTTCTAATATTGCCACGACATTCTAGAAGGTTTCATGAAACGTGTATCGTTATAAATAGCATTATTCCACTAATTAATAACCAAAGCATGAATTAATTATAATTTCTAAAAGCACTAAAAAATCAAATAAATCTTTAAATACTCGCGGACTTATACATTTGAGTAAATATATAGTTTAATTCCAAGAAGATATTATTTCGATTACTTTAATTTTTAAAGGTTTTGATCTTTATAAATTAATTTTTGGCAAGTTTACATTTTTGGTATGGTGATTTTCGTTAGAAAGTTAACAATTTTAAAAATTTAATTTTATTAACTAAAATTTTCAAATATTAAAGTAATATCTTTCCAGAATCTAACTATATATTTATTTTGTACATTTTAATATTTTATAAAAAAAGGTAAAATCAGCAATGAATATAATTAATTTTACTTTTTTTAACCCGACGTCACGTTTATAAATTCGAACTTCACATTCATTTAAACCAAAAATATGCTTAGACAAGACTTGTGAGGAATATCCCATTCCCCTCCTTTCCTTTCTACAATTTTTTTTTTTTTTTGATAAAAAAACATGTATTTTCACTGTAGACAATCATCCTGTTTGAGCCGAAAAAATTCACGTCATGGTGGGGTTAATTCTTTCAAAAAAAAAAAATTTACATTCAAAAGCATTTAAATCCAATATCATACTTAAACGGAATTAAGCATGTATCACTTGAACCAACTGTTTCCTTTCGCTCTCTATAAATACGTAGTTCCTGGTGGATGCTGTAGTACTCGTCAACCCAAAGGCAAATTTGTGTAGAGCAGTGTGAACCAGTGAGAGTGAATCATGCCTACTGGTAGTAGGAATCCTCTTGTTGTCGGGCGTGTAATTGGGGATGTATTAGAGCCCTTTGAAAGTTCTATTCCTCTCAAAGTCACCTATGGTAATAGAGATGTGAGCAATGGTTGTGAGCTTAAACCTTCTCACGTTGCCAACCAACCCAGAGTGAGTGTTGGTGGAGATGACCTCAGGAACTTTTACACGCTGGTATTTACATTACTTAGTGCCTATATATACGTATAATAATAGTATTTTATCATATAGTGGTGTATAATATTTAATTGTTTTTAGCTCTAATATTTAATTTTGTTTCTTCTATTAAAGGTCTTGGTGGATCCTGATGCACCTAGCCCGAGTAACCCAACTTGCAGGGAGTACCTTCATTGGTGAGTAAATCAGACATATGCCCCGCATATAATTGAACCAGATTTATAAGAGACTTTAGTTATGTAATATTATAACTAACACCATCAAATAGTGATAGATTAGTTGGTAGCAAAGAAGCTGAATAAGTGGAAAGGAAAGAGCCTCGGTTCGATTCCTACGCCACTTTGAGTGGGGTTTAAATATCTTTATTTCTGACCCGCCTTACACTCCGGATTAGTCTCATAGCCGACTCAAAGAGTTGAAGCTTGTGGGAATACCGAAGGGAGCCAACTCACCTTAAAAAAGTAATTAGGGTTGAATTAGCTTAAAAAAAATATAACTAACACCCGTCTCTCAATGGATTTTAGGTTGGTGACTGATATTCCTGCAACTACCGGGCCTAGCTTTGGTATGTATATAGTTTACCCATCTTTTTGTTGACACTAAAATGCACTTATTAATAAATAAATAAATGCACTTAATTATTAACTCAATTTTAACTATAAGTCAATTGCCAAAAAAAAAATGTGATTTAAAATTTAATAGTTTCACTGCATGAACTGATCATAACATGCAGAATAATGTAAACATAACTGTCTGGGTGCATGCAAGTAGAAAACTCACGTAGGAAGCAATTTTCTTATAATCGACTTAGGTTCCTTACATTTTAACCATTTATTATTGGGTTATATTTATCTTATTCAATATGAGATAAACCAATTTCCTATACACACATAATAAAGATGCGTCCCACATCTATTTTTTCTCTTTCCAATTATTTGTGGGTCCCTCCTATAATTTTATGTCACTAACATGAGATAACCTATCTTCATCAACATAAGAAAACATTTCCGTTTATTATTTGCATAAGCTGTGTTATAAATTATCCAAACCCTAGCCCTTACCAGGACCAAACATTAAATGATATGATAAATTTTAATAATAATATAATCAACTCAATTAATAATTATTCTTTATAATCATGACTATATGTCAACGTAAAAAATACAAGCATGATTTGGATTTTATGTTTTTGGAACTTTTTTGTGTTAAAAAATTATTTGTTATATGTTTCTCCTAATTATAAAAGTTAACCTTTAATTTAAAAGATAGTGGAACCATTGCAAACAATCATATAATTTACACAAATGGTAAAATGCTTAATTTTATAAATTAGATTTAAAATACTAATTAAAACAGTAAATGAACATGGAAAATGTAAATGACCTAGTATAACTATTCATTTTTGTCAAGGGTAAGTAAAATCAGTTACGTATGCAATATATTTAGTTGTACAAACTAGATTGATTCATATGGTTTATCTCTCCTACACTTTCAATGACGTTGAATGTTTTGTATAATCCATCTATTTATCATGATTTTATTTTAAAACACTACAAAAAATAATATAATTTTATAATTGATATGAATTAATGACGCCATCATAACAAGGATAAAAAGAAATAATACTAAACCTTTTTTTTTTTAAGTAATCTCAATCATTAGTTTACTACGCATGTATAATATGATAATTCATACAAACCGAAATTTGAAATCTTAAAATCGGTTCTATCTGTGATATAAATATTTACAAATCAAATTATATATGTATCGAAACTGCTGTTGAATTGTGATTTTGTAGTTTATAGACAAGTTTGCGTTAGTATAATTCATATTTGGCACCTATCACATCATGTGTAACACTAATATCATTTCGAAAACCGCTTTTCATTCAAGATATGGAGCATAAAAGTTTTGGAATCGTATATGTGGAGCACGTTTTTTGAAATTTGAAAGACATTCTGTTTGGCATAGAACATCTTGTGCTGGAAATTAAAAATGAATCAATGGGGCATCATATTCTAAATTATATATGATGAGACCAACCTCCACCTAGTCCAAAGTATTTGATCATATATATGGTAATGTAATTTTAATAAAAAAAGAACAAGATGGGAATGTTTATTTGTATAGAATCAAGTATTACGTAGTTATATATATTGGCTAATTGCGAGTTTGCATGATTTCCACATAGGTAATGAGGTTGTAAGTTATGAAAACCCACGACCAACGATGGGGATTCATCGTTTCGTGTTTGTGTTATTTCGTCAACCATGTAGACAGAGAGTATATGCTCCTGGATGGCGACAAAATTTCAACACAAGAGAATTTGCTGAACTTTACAATCTTGGATTGCCAGTTGCTGCCGTTTTCTTCAATTGTCAGAGGGAGACAGGCTCTGGTGGAAGGACATTTTGAAAGCTTGCCTTTATTATATAAAAAGTCTAAGTGAAACATTTGAACTAATGAAGACAAGTGCATTAAGAAAGGCCGAAGACCATATCATTTTGGACTTTGATATTTACACATGATAATTCATCGTTTTTAGTGTATTGAAAAAAAAATAGAGTGTATGTTGGTATATGTGTTTTTTTTTTTTTATTATTATCTAAAAAATGGTTTGAAAATTGGTGTAATAAAACTAATGTTTAAATATTATTATTGTTTTCTACTTATTTTCTAAAACCTCCATTTGACCACCAAAACTTGGCCTGCAGGACGATCACAATATTGACGGGTAGGTCCTTACCCCATAAATTCTAAGACTTAGTCAGCAATCCACAAATATCCGTTATGTTTAACTTGCGTGCCGGTTTGGTTTCTCATAGTGGAAGATGTTCAGGTATTGGATAGTACACACGCGCGTTTTGCAGTTGTTCAAATTAGAATCCACAAATAAACGTTGTATACCATGGTTGTCGGTTTGGTTTCCCATAGTGGATGATGTTCAGGTATTGGGTGGTATGAGGAATGGATTCTCTCATCGACATAAGAGGTGTGAGAAGATTTGAGTTGTCCATATACAAATTAACAGTTATTTTTTTCCTCATTATTTATCTGAATTTTTGTATTTGAGTAGTTAAATTCTCTCAAAGTGATTTCATGTTACATGAGGGGTGCATTAGTACCATATTTTGCGGTTGTTCAAATTCGAAAATATTCCTTCTCCTAGTTGAGTCTCATCAACTGACTGATGAGTAACATCTATTTCTTTTAGGAATGGATACAAAACATTTTAATAATGACAAAGTTGATAAAATAAAATAAAATAAAAAAGTCATTTTTGTTGCAAAACACACATGTTTTACATAGTGGATAACTACCTTAATTGGGGGGTTATTAGGCTGTGTGGTTACGATGTTTTTGTATTTCTAAATAATAGTGCATTAACCTACCCATTATGTACATGGTGTAACCACTTATTCTTTTATTCCTATACAGAGATATGTATCTTATGAAGATTGGAAGTAGAAAACAAATACCATAGCTAGTTCCTAAAGAACTAGACTTTTAGAAGCCATATTTTAGTTGTCTTCATCTCTTCTTCTACATTTTCTCTTCTTTTTTTATAACATGTTATCAACATGATCAAGTCTTCAATGGTGTAGCAACATCCATGTTTCATTTCAAGCACGAGTCTTTAGAATAGCAAAATCCTCATGTTTTATTTCAAGCACGAATCTTTATCAACCAAGTGATGAGTTTGATAAATATAAAAAGGGGATAACACATTCTTATCCCCTCTTCTTCAAATAATATATTTCATGGCTTAATTTCTTTCTTTTTTGTCTTTTTCATATTATTTACCATATGAATGTGTTTTTTATATTTCCTTCATGAAAATTTCTTGAAGAAATTACACTTTAAGCCTACTAAAAGAAAAGAGGTATACGGAGGCGGTTAATCAGTAATTCAACGACAGTTTAAACTGCCTCTGAATTCCAATTTCGCCTTCGAATTCCGATTTCGGGAGTTAACCAACCGTCATAGTTACCAACGTCGAGAGGGAATTCAACGACGATTTAACTGACCGCTGGAATAACCGACGAGGTATAATTCAACGACAGTTTCTGTAGCGGTTATCACGGTCTTAGAACATCCTTGAAAGAAATCGATAAATATTCCAAGGCGGTTGGAAAATCGTCGTGGAATAAGCATTCAAAGGCGGTTTGATAGGTGTCATTGAATAAGAATTCAAAGGCGGTTGATGGAATGTAACACCCCGTAGTACTCCGGTTGTTAACTATATGATATTTAGCATACACAGCGGAAAATTTTATTTTAAAAGGATAATAAAATGTCTTATAAAAATACGAGTAAACTTTTTCCAAAATATTTTCTAAAACATTTTCAAAGCGTTCATCTGATATATCGCATTAGCATAACATTAACATCTCAGTCTACTAATTAAAACCATTGGCCATCACTAGTGGTCGTTGACCATCCAGATATGACCTCAAGTGTCATTCCTGACGGAGTCTCACGGACAACATAACGATTGTATTTCGGATAACTGGGGACATGGGTACCACACATACACAACCTGATAGATACAATAATTAAACAGACAGATTGGAAGTCCCACATGGACTGCAATCCCCTCAATGGGTCAATACAAACAATATGGTTCAATGCCCAATTAACTGAATACATACATCAAGTCTACATAAATTTCCAAACGTCTAAGCATCAGTAAATAATCCATGGCTCTAATCATACAGTCATGAGCCTAAATAAATACATCATATAATCTTAGCATAAGATAATTAAGCATGTTAATAAATATACATGCCATCATAAAGTCTAAACATAATAAAGATAAATCAGCAGCGTCATCCACTACTCCAAGGCGGGGGCCTTGCCCCTAGAAGCATCACCACTACTCTGGGTACCTGAAATGATATCCCCAAACAGGGTGAGATAACACATCTCAGTAAGCTCAAGGTTCATAGAGGATCCTCTAATCCCCTGAGCCCACTTCCTGCATGACAAGTCAGATATATAGCATATAATACAGCCATAAAACATAAACATAGCATCATCATAACATCCTTGTGTAACCCCAGGGTCAAAGCCATAGACGGTTACACATGCGTGACTCCAGGGTCAAGCCATAGACAGTCAACACAACCTCTGTATGAAATAGCTCCCAGAGTCAAGTCATAGGCAGCCTACATGTTATAATCACTGGCCAGGATTCTCATAACATATATCATCAGTGCATCATCATAACAGAAAGAATCATATAACATCTATATCAATGTGAATGAATGCACATATACATTATACCACATACTTTCATACAATACAACCATAATGCCCACCATCATGGTGGGGCCGCAAGAGAGAGGAGCAACCAGAACTAGGATCTTACCTCACTGTGCTTATCACAAGCCCAACTCCAATAGTAAAATACGTATGCTCCAATAAACCCTCAAGTTCCAAACCCTCTAGGCAAACCTAGAGCAGGAATCATTTACATCATTAATACTCAATCACTTAATGATTCCACATTTCATTCTTACATGCCAATAGTATGCCCATTACAAGTCTAGACCAATTATTACATAATTACGTATTTTAGTGTATTATGAAGTGTTCACTTATTACACAATCAACCACGTAGTTTAAGCACCTTGCATAATCTTAGAATCTCACTCTAGGATCACTAAGGTAACTTAGATTATTTTCACTCATCCAAGCCATATATATACTCATTAAAAGTTACTAAGGGTTTTCCATAAGCCAACTTAGCCTAAATATCACTTTTACGGTTTTCTTATAACTCTATATGCTTCTGTTTTTTAGCTCCGGTTATCACCATTTGAAGTTGGACAAGCAAAGTTGCCTACCAACTCCGAACAGAGCCCTAAACATGCCTTACCATTTCTGCGATTCTGGAAAATCTACTTAACCAATTGCTCCCAAATTTTTATGCTGACAACTACACACCTTCAGCTTTAATTCAACATATTATGAGCCTAAATTGAGTAAGGACTGAGGGAGAAACAATTTGTGGAAGTTGCAGCCATGCACAGCCCCTGCACATGGCCTCCCAAGGCAGTCTCCACTCAATCGAACCTACAAAATGATATATATCTTCAAATAGTACCAAATTTTGACACCACATAGCTAATATCTCAAGCTTCAAAATGATAAGGCACATCCCTATAGGACCTCTGTGGAGGGAGATATGTCATCCCCAAGTTAGCCTAAAAACTGGTCATTTAACCCTAAGTGGGATTAATTATCAAATCTTAATTACCTATGGTTAGCAACTCTAAGTCACTTTAATTCTTGGATTTTTTTTTCTATTATTAGGTCACATTATGAAATCCCACTTAGTCACATTATGCCATGATACCTCAAGTTCATTAATTGCATGATTAGTGCTCCTAAACCCTAATTAGGTTCATTTTTAGGGTTTAATCTTTAATTAGTGTATTATGTATAGTCCACCTCACTTAACCACTAAATTATTGTCCTAATTAGGTCTTAATACTAATTTTAACATAGTGACCCTAAATTAATCACATATGGCCGAATTGCTTAGGTGTTTAAATTAGTATTTTTAAGCTTATTTCTTAGTCATTTCATTAGTTAATTAGTACCTACACTTAATTAATCCACTAATTCATGATTTCCTTATTTTTAACACAACTAATCCACATTATATCAAAGGGGGAAGATTTGATTAATTATATTTATTAGGGTTTTTAGCCATCCTTAATCAACAATAGTAGGTTTCACTTAAAGATAACCCACTTAATTAATCTTTCTTAGTTCCTCTTAGGATTTTTCCACACTTAATCACTTCATAAAAAAATTTAGTCATCAAACCCTAGATCCCATGACATGGCAGAATCATAGGTGTCTCCTTTAGGGTTCAAGTTCATCCTTTTTCATGGAATCCACACAAGGATCCAAAGGTTGCACCTTTACACATCAAATCAACAATTTCTTGGTTCAAAACTCACACACCCTCAAGAACAATCATCAAAACCTTTTCTTTTTAAAAATTTTCAGCAACATACACCTCACCCATACACAAAACCGTGGCATAAAGAGGAGGAAAGGAAGCCTTTTTGGGTCATATTTTCCCAAGGTGAAGCTTACATATTCAAGTTCACACTTTTAGCTCCAAGCTCCACCTTTTACCACTAAGAATGCTCCTTTAAACAAGAAGACACCTTCAAGAACATGCTCAAGTGTTAGAGCTCATGAACACAAGAGAAAAAGATCATATTTTTCAAGAAAGTTTAAGAATACTTACACTAGAACTCAAGAGAACTAAGCAAGGATGTGTTGTTCTTCAAGAGAACTCAAGAACACAATTCCATGGTCCTTGAAATCCCAAAAACCATGGCTGTATGGTGGTGTGAGGAACTCAAAAAATCGATCAACACCATGAAAATGGT